TACCATTACAAAAATAATAGCCCATGTTGTAGTCATGACCATTGATGATATAGTTGCATGGGGGAGTTTGTCCCGCAGTCGACCTAACAAACAATGGAGACCCCGGCAGAACGTTGATGTCATTGTGTGCCAAAGAAAGAGTGTTAAACACAAAGGTCTTCTTATGCAGCTGCTTCAAGAATAATGATGATCCTCTTACTATGGCCCAAATATTTCCCTTGTTGAGCATATGTGCAATTCTTCTATTTCCAGTGCATGAAGTCCAGGGAGCCGAGCATACCTAGCAACCCTCTTTCTTCTGATAATATTGGGGCCTTTGGGTGTCCATTGTAGTTGGTTCTCTCAAATACTCCGGACCAGACACCATGACCAGCACAGTAAAAAATTGACCCTGGCTTCGAGGCATGTTCTTTTAGACATCCGAAGACCCTCGTCCCACTAATTTGCGGCGTGCTACAGGCAAGCATCCCCAAGGCAGTTGCTACCCCTCTGGTAACAGAGAAGCCAATGCTTCCAGTGAGATCCTTCTACAAGATAAAGTACTCGTCGTAGATAAGCCTGAACGACATTGTAAATGCAATCGAACACAATCCAGTGCATCCAAAACCGATGGCGAAGAAAAGACTCGAATGGTGCATCTTTGTTGAAGTAGTCATCCATGAGCATCAAATGCCCCGATGCCCACTTCCGGTTGAACACTCGATGCCCCTTGATTGATTGTTGGTAATTCATAACATGCTCCTTTTAACAGCTTAGAGTTTTTCCCAAACGAGAAACTGAATGTAATTTTATAGTTGCACCGGCATTGCATGAGCATCATAATTTTATAGTTAAATTGAATGTAATTTTATAGTTACTACAGTGGTGCCACTCTTTTCCGAGGGTCATGACCCTCGGTAAAAGGTCAGCTGCCATGTGGGCCACCCGGTGCAACTGGTCAGTTCCGTAGGGTTTACTCAGAGTCGTGTATCGAGCATTGCCGAGAGTTGCTCTTGGCAAAGACATTGTCAAATGATTCTTTTTGTATATTTAGCAAATAATTTAAAACTTTTACTGATAAATCTGACACATGAGACCACATGTCAGGAAGGAAAATTGTGACGTGTTTTTACCAAGGGTGAAGTCGCGGCTCTAGTATAGGTAAACCAAGTGATGGCACCGTCAGTTCCAATCGGGCAGGCCAGATGGCTTCCCATTGCCGTGTGTGGCTCTCGGTGTCTGCCTCGTTTGTCGTGCGGTGCTTGTTCGTCGTGAGCCCATGACCGCAATGCCAGCTAGTTGCCGTGAAGCCAGTTTTGCCGAGTGCTGCTCTTGGCGTTTCTTACTTTGCCGAGTGCTGCTCTTGGCATTTCTTACTTTGCCGAGTATCCGTATTTTGGCTCTCGGCGAAGACCCTCGCACCCGGCGTATACGAAATTTCCAGTAATGAAACTTTAAAAACCATGCGCGCTACTTTCAACTCGTCACATATGCGTAACCATATTAGCAACGTGTGTGATGCCCTATGTCATTGCATACTACTCCCTCCGTCTCAAAATAAGTGTCTCAACTTTATACTAGATCTAATACAAATTTATACTAAGCTCAAGACACTTATTTTGAGACGGAGGAAGTATTTGCTTTTTTTAAAGCGTTTGCCAATCAATGCACACACTTCGGTAATAACCGCACACGCAACATTATACCTTGGTACGTGCCTCCTATCGCACATGGTTTGCATCTGAAAGTCGGTCAAAATGGATGGGCAATCACACGCTTTTCGTTTTCTACCACACGGGTATATTTTGGAAACTACTTTGTTTCATCCGGATGCAAACTCGCTCGCTCGCGCAGCCGTCTCTTCTAACTGCCACGCGTCCCATGGACCCCACCACCAATATATAATCTCTCTTCTTAGCCTTTCGTGGGATATTTTTTCAGCCACACGTCCTCCATCTTTCTGGTTAAACCGTCTTCTCCCCATCTCTCTCTTCTCCTCCATCCCGTGGGATCTCATCCACCATGGATGGCCTCCATGAGCTCTCTTTTCAAGTGATGCGAAGCTGATCCAGCTGCTGCGAGGGGGCGCTTCGGCTGCTGTGAGCGCCACTACGAAGCTGCGACGGGATCTCAGCTGCGGCAGTGGCTCGGACCGCTTCAGTGGTGCTGCGACGACATCTCGGTGACGGCGGCTCAACTGCTGCGAACGGCGGCTCGGGCTGCTCTGGCAATGTTGCGACGGCGCCGTAGTGGTCTGAGCCAGTGCTGTGACTGCGTTTTCGGGCTGCTCCGGCGATGCTCCGACGATGCCGTCGTGCTGCGAGCCAGTGCTGCGACAGTCGTTGACAAGTTGCGAGCGGGTGCTGCGACGGTGCTGCCGTGCTGCAAGGCTGCCGGAGTTGCTATGACGGGTGGGGTTGCTGCGAGTCGGTGCTGCCGCCGTCGTGCTGCGACGACACCATCGTGCTCTGCCGGTGCTGCGACGGTGCCGCCATGCAGGCCGCCGGAGTTGCTAGGTGCTATGGACGTGACGGCGTTATGCAACAGACAGAAGGGAAGGGCGACCATGTGCGTTGACTTCCATCGATGGCTGGCTACGGACGCCCAGATTGTACGGTTCATGAGGTGGATGTTTTTTTACTTTTGTGCATCCGGATGGCGCCTAGCATCCGCCGTATATTTTTCTATCGTTTGTCATGCTTGCATCGGACATCGTTTGTTCAAAGACTGAGCGATATACAGATGTGTCTTGTTAGCCGATTCTACGGTACTAGTTGTTGGATGTGGATGGGATCGCCAGGATTCAGAGCAGCGATAGCGTGTGTGAAGAAATGGAGATAGCAAAAAAGTAAGTATTTAAACGTCTTTATGCAACAACCAAAATTCATTGAGATTTAAAGAATTCAAGTGTGGTATGTTACAACACCGATCCGTGCTTAATTTTTTTTGAGGAATCACCAAGGGGAGAGTTCTCCCACCTGAATCTATTGCTAAAAATGGCCAAAGCTAAAAGTCACCTTTAGGCTTTGACTGATCCAGTTTATAAAAAAAACCGGATCAACAACCTAAACAAGTTGGCCTTGTTTATGAGGGAAATAAGGCCAAAAACCGTACCTGTATCAAGATTAAAGGATGAAGAAGAGAAAAAAGAATGTCTTCGACTTAGCTAGCAGACAGAAGGACCATCGCCATGAAAGACACGTAGATGTGGGGTGTCATCAAGAGATCACAATACTAGAACTTGGCAAGCAACCTAACGCACTGCACCAGCGTGCGTATCGAGCCCCACGGCACAACTCAAGAGCTTCCGCATCTACACGAGTGCACTGAACACGAACCTTGACCGGGAGCTCCACGACGGAAATTCGGAACGATTAGCAAGTTGGGGAGGTACCCTGCGCCATCTATGAGCAAAGATGAACCGAGAAAACACCAAGAGCACGGAGCTCGCCGCAACACATCGTCAGCCATAGGAGCGTCTTGAGCCGATATAGCAAACACCTTCACAAGAGGGAAACAGATGGCCACCCTGCAGTGCGAAATGCACCGCCGCCAAACCCCAAATAACACCACTGAAACAACCACCGTCGACCCCAATCACGAACACCACCGCCAAACCCACATTGGTCCCTGCTTCAAAAATGATGCCCACAAGAGGGGTACGACGCAAGCCGCCACCATCCGATCTGAGAGAGTATGAATCTAAGGTTTCCCACTGAGAAAGGGTTGTAAGGGAGAGGAGCACATCACCACAGCAGCGCCTTCAGGAAGGTAGCGACGCCCATGAACGTCGTCGCTGCCGGCCCCGACCATAGCCAGAGACAGACTTTCGCCTGACATCGTCTCCCACAGCACTGACCAAACCAACCTGCCCGCCACATCCAACACCCACCCACCACCAACCTCCACCCTCCTGGCGCGCCCAGCCATGCTCCCGGCAGTGAGCCGCCACCATGCCATCTGGCAGCAACCACCATGGCGCCCCACTGCTCGTCGTGGCACACCCGAGCCAGCGAGGACACAAGGTCCGGGCGGTCCTGGGCCAGGGTGCCTCGACACATTTGGCAGAGAGCACCATAGCCAACAGTAGCCGGGCACCATTCCTCACCACCAGCCGCCACCACCACCACCTCCCCCACTAGCCGCACACAACCATGCTCCCAGCAGCAAGCTGCCGCCAGACCGCCGAACAGCATCCCACCGTACCTCGCGGGCCATTAGAAGCCACCGACGAACGCCAGATATGCGGGGCGTATCGCCAGGACCCCGACCCGCCCGGTTGGCGAGCATCAAAAGGCCAGCAACAGCCGTGAGCAGCCACACCGACCACCCTCGCACCCCAACAGCAGGCAGCAGAACCAGCACCGGCACCCGAAGCCGGCCACGCGCACGGATCCAGGCGCCTCGACCAGATGCGCCACTTATATACGATGAACATAGCTCTTGGCTTTAACGCTGTTCATCCTGGGCTAGGCTCACTAGAAGCAGCAATGCTGGAAGCGTTTTCCCTCTGGATTTTGTGTGGTTTTCGGGATAGTGGTTTTTTCAATGTTTTTTCGCAGTGATTTAGTTGGAAGTTGTTGTAGTTTGGTTTTCAACATTTTTCTACTGTTTGTGATGCTTGCACTGCACATAGTTTGATTAAAGAGTGAGCAATATATAGATGTGTCTTCTTAGACGATGCTACGGTAGTAGTTGTCGGATGTGGATGGGATGGCCAGGATTCATAGCACTGACACAACGTGTGTGAAGACACGGAGATAGCAAAAAAGAAAGTATTTCAACGTCTTTATGCAACGACCAATATTCAGTGAGATTTGAAGAATTCAAAAGTGGTATGTTACAGCATCGAGCCATACATACTTAGTTAATTAGTACCTTTATTTGTAGCACATTGGAGCATGCATGTTCAGCACAATCCAACAGCTGGATGCACTATTTGCATTTTTATTGAACTTGGTAGGAACAGTGTTGAAAGCTAGCGACACCAACAACGTACGCAGGGGAGGATTTCACCGAATTTAGACTCCACCAGGTGGAGAGTCCGGCAGTGGCACGCGGAGAGAGGGGCGCAAAAGCAGGTTCGCCTTCCGCTTTACGGTGACGCCAAACGCCTCACTCATGTCCAACTCGGACGGGTCTGAGATGTCCGGCGCCTCCCAGTCGAAATGGAGCAGCATGCTAGCGAGCGGGAGCTCCACGTTGGCGAGGCCAAACGCCATCCCAGGGCACATCCTCCTCCCGGCGCCGAACGGCAGCAGCTCAAAGTTGGTGCCCGTGAAGTCCACCTCCTCCCCCGCACCGGCCTCGAAGCGCTCCGGCCGGAACTCCTCCGCCGCGTCGGACCCCCAGCGCCCCTCGTCACGGCCCAGCGCCCAGGCGTTGATGATCACCTGCGTGCCCTTGGGCACGTCGAACCCCACAACTTTGCATGGCTCCCGGCACTCGCGCGGCAGCAGCAGCGGCAGCGGCGGGTGCAGGCGCAACGTCTCCCGGATGACGAGGCGCATGTACGGGAGCTCGCCAAGCCTGCCCTCGTCGACCGTGCCACCGGCCTCGAAGGCCCGCCGCACCTCCGACGTCGCCTTCGCCATCGCCCCTGGGTTCTTCACCAGCTCCGCCATCGCCCACTCGAGCGTCGTCGCCGACGTCTCGCTGCCGGCAGCAAAGATGTCCTGTGCGCGCCAAACCACTACCTACTTAGTACTAATAATAAGGAGAAGTTAGAAGATTATATCATGTGCTATACGGATGCTCACAAAGATGACCGCTTCGACGGCAACCATGTCGACGCCACCGTCCTTGTGTATTTTGAGCAGCACGTCCAGCAGGTCGTCCTTGGTTCCCTCGCCGCGCTGGCCCTCCGTCCTCGTCTCCATATGCTCATGGATGATGCCCTTGATGATCCCAAACACGGTGGCATGGCTCTCCTTGGCACAGCGGAGGGCGTTGCTAAGCCGTCCGGCGAGCCACCACGACGGCCACAGGTCCGCTGTGTTAAACCCCGCGGCGAGCCCGATTATTCTGTTAAGCTCCCGCAGGAACAGGTTGCGCTGCTTGGAGTCGCACCGGTCGCCCATGACGGCGCGGAACGTGCCGTCGGCGACGAGCATGGACAGCCGTGCGCGCATCTCCACCGTGGGTCCGGAGGACTCGACGCCCCGTAGCATGGTGGCGACCTCCTCCTCGCGGATGGCTCGGAAGGAGCGTACGCGGACAGCCGTGAGGAGCTCCGTGACGGCGATTTTGCGGAGCTGCCGCCAGTATTCGCCGTAGGGCGAGAAGATCATGTCCCGACCGCCACAGGTTAGCACGCTCATGGTAGCGGTCAGCGGCCGCGTGGCGAACGCCACGTCGTGGGTCTTCATCACGTCGCGGGCCGCGTCCGGCGACGACAGCACAAGCGTGGGCACTGAGCCGAGCCTGAGCAGCATGACTGGCCCGTGGCGCCGCGCCAGGTCGCGCATGGCGCGGTGCGGGAGCTTCCCGACGAGGTGGTGCAGGCTGCCGACGACCGGCAGCTGCCAGGGACTCGGCGGGAGATGGAGAGGCAGGCTGTTATTTGCCTTCTTCCTGCGCGTAACAGCAAGCGCGAGGGAGGACAGGACGAGAGCCCAGACGAGGCAGACGACGTAGTAGTAGTTGTCCTCCATTTGCGTCTTAGTGTAGGGGACGAAAGACGATGCATGCATGATTGCAAACTTTTGGGACCATATATATAGAGAGAGACTTTTCCGTTGATTTTAATTTGGACATGTTCATGGAAAATAGTCAATCTAGTGGAGTGATGCCTACTGGCAAAACATCCCCAGGCTAAGTTTATGTACATGCTCTAACTTAATTAGTCGTACTACACTGAGCATCCGTATATATTTGTTTAGAGTCAATTACACCGGTGGTGCTAGAACTTGACGTAAACAATCACTTTAGTGCTAGAACTTGCGACATACGTTAAAGTGGTGCAAAAACTTGGCTTGAGCGTGCAAATACGGTGCAAATCTCGTTTGTATACACCAGCGAAGCTGACGAGGCATGACAGCGTGGCATAGGGCCCGCTGTTAGTGACTATATGGTGAAGAATGGGCGTGTGGTGTTCTCTTTGCAAAAAAAAGCCTCATTTTTTTTAATTTTTCTCACGTAAAGGCCCCTGTGAGGTGTACAGCAACTGCATGTATGGCATTGGGTGGTCCCACCTGTCAGCCCACATCACAAATTTTATTAGTGTTATTAGTATTAGAAAGAAAAATACGAGTCAGGCAAGGATTCAAACCTTTGACCTATAGTCAGCCAAGAGCGCGGCTAGCCAACGCACCAGATAATAGTTGTGTCATATAACGATACTCAGCCTTTATATCTTTGTTATTAAATAACGTAAAATAAGAATTCTAATTAAAAAAATACAGCCGTGGGATTTCATACCAGCGACCCGACAATTACCGCGAGGAGGACCTAGCAGATACTATACAACAAAGCAAAAAATGTAAATTATAAAGTGTACATATAATTGTAAATACATTTTCATTTGAGAATCTGCAGTCCGAGGCAAACTAGGCTAAATTTTTGCACATATATTTATATTAATTTAAATCTACATATCTAATTTTTAGAAAACACACAAATTTTATAAAAACAACATAAAAACATTAAAGCTTGCACAATTTTATAAACAACATGAATATTTTATTTAAAAACTTCTACTTTTTTTGAACTGATATGATAATTTTTAAATACACCTATTTCCTAAAATTACTGTGATATTTTATTTAATATGAAAAAACTTTTTAATAATACAATTAATTCGTAATTTAATTTCATGGATTTTTAAAAATTAATAGATGAGCATTGTTTTAGTCTAATATATTTATTTATATGTATATTATTTATAATTACAGTTTACATTTCTTTAGAACTTTTGTAAAGTGAAAAAAAATCAACATAAATTTTAGCCGAGAAGCACGTTCTGTTATAGACATAAACTGTAGCAATTATATTTACACATGTGAGTACATAGTTGAAGTGGCACGCCCTCCTAATTGTTTTAGTTGGGTAGCTGGCTTGAAACACCGTGGGCGTAACCCTTTTCCGATTAAGATTCTTTAGTTATATAACTTAATTCAAATATATAAAACGTGTGTATCCTTCTATGTCGTTATGTGAGCTCTTGACTGATGGTTAGCTGCGCATGCTGTTTAGACCGAGGTTACCTGTACGAATCCCTCGGCTGCATATTTTCCATTCTAATAAAATTTGTGATGTTTCGCTGACAAGTGGGACCCACCGGATGCAATACACCTGACAGGGGCGTTTTTGTGGAAAAAAAATAAAAACCGAGATTATTTTGGAAGACACTGACAGCGGGCCCTATGCCACGCTGTCATGCCTAGTCAGCATCGCAGCTGTATACAAACAAGATTTGCACCGTATTTGCACGTCCGAACCAAGTTTTTGCACCATTTTAATGTATGCCGTAAGTTCTAGCACTAAAGTAACCGTTTGCGACAAGTTCTAGCACCATTGGTGTAATTGACTCTTTTGTTTATGTATGCGCTCTAACTTAATTAATTGCAGACCAAAGCCGTAAATTTCCACACCGGCCAGAAAGATTTCCAGGCATGTGATGTACGTGGAGGCACCCTTCTGGTGTACTATCGTCGATCTCAACACTTCCAGTGTAAAACTTACGAAAAGTGATACCAATCTGCCATCACCACCTCAAATGTGGTACTATTGTGTAATTTTCTCTATATATAGACTTCTTCGTTGATTTTAATTTGGACTTGTTCATGGAAAATAGTCAATCTAGTGGAGTGATGCCTACCGGCAAAGCATCCCCAGGCTAAGTTTATGTACGTACTCTAACTTAATTAGTCGTACTACACTGAGCATTCGTATATATTTGTTTATGTACGTGCTCTAACTTAATTAATTGTAGATCAGAGCCGTAAATTTCCACACCGGCCAGAAAGATTTCCAGGCATGTGACGTACGTGGAGGCACCCTTCCGGTGTACTATCATTGATCTCAACACTTCCGATGTAAAACTTACGAAAAGTGGTACCAATCCGCCATCACCGCCTCAAATGTGATACTATTGTGTAATTTTCTCTATATATAGACTTCTCTGTTGATTTTAATTTGGACCTGTTCATGGAAAGTAGTCAATCTAGTGGAGTGATGCCTACCGGCAAAGCATCCCCAAGCTAAGTTTATGTACGTGCTCTAACCTAATTAGTCGTACTACACTGAGCATCCGTATATATTTGTTTATGTACGCGCTCTAACTTAATTAATTGTAGATTGGAGCCGTAAATTTCCACACCGTCCAGAAAGATTTCTAAGCATGTGACATAGGTGGAGGCACCCTTCCGGTGTACTATCGTCAATCTCAACATTTCCGGTGTAAAACTTACGAAAAGTGATACCAATCTGCCATCACCGCGTTAAATGTGGTACTATTGTGTACCTTTCTCTATATATAGACTTCTCCGTTGATTTTAGTTTGGACCTGTTCATGAAAAGTAGTCAATCTAGTGGAGTGATGCCTACCGGCAAAGCATCCCCAGGCTAAGTTTATGTACGTGCTCTAACCTAATTAGTGGTACTACACTGAGCATCCGTATATATTTGTTTATGTACGCGCTCTAACTTAATTAATTGTAGATCGGAGCCGTAAATTTCCACACCGTCCAGAAAGATTTCTAAGCATGTGACGTAGGTGGAGGCACCCTTCCGGTGTACTATCGTCGATCTCAACACTTCCGGTGTGAAACTTACGAAAAGTAATACCAATCTGCCATCACCGCCTCAAATGTGGTACTATTGTGTAATTTTCTCTATATATAGACTTCTCCGTTGATTTTAATTTGGACCTGTTCATGGAAAATAGTCAATCTAGTGGAGTGATGCCTACCGGCAAAGCATCCCCGGGCTAAGTTTATGTACGTGCTCTAACTTAATTAGTCGTACTACACTGAGCATTCGTATATATTTGTTTATGTACGCGCTCTAACTTAATTAATTGCAAATCGGAGCCGTAAATTTCCACACCGGCCAGAAGGATTTCCAGGCATGTGACGTACGTGGAGGCACCCTTCCGGTGTCCTATCGTCGATCTCAACATTTATGGTGTAAATCTTACGAAAAATGGTACCAATCTTTTATCACCGCCTCAAATGTGGTACTATTGTATAATTTTCTCTATTGTAGACTTCTCCATTGATTTTAATTTGAACCTGTTCATGGAAAATAGTCAATCTAGTGGAGTGATGCCTACCGGCGAAGCATCCCAAGCTAAGTTTATGTACGCGCTCTAACTTAATTAGTCGGACTACATTAAGCATCCGTATATATCCGTTTATGTACGTGCTGTAACTTAATTAATTGCAGATTGGAGCTGTAAATTCCCACACCGGACAGAAAAATTTCCAGGCATGTGACGTAGGGGGAGCAACCTTCCGGTGTACCATCGTCGATCTCAACACTTCCGGTGTACAAGCAGCTGAAATCATACCGAAAATTCAAAGGCGTGCTCGTCCTCGCCTGCACATGTTATCCCCGCTGCATGTTCATCTCTGGATCTGAACTGACAGGAGTATACTATTGTTGTTAGGTATCGTGGGGCACATTGCACAGTGCATGGCCGTGTGAGACTGTCCCGGTACAGGTGACTCATGCCATCAAGCACCATTGGCCCATGAGGAAAGATTCTCAAGTACTAGGTGACGAGCGTGAAGCACATATGAAGTGCAAAGTACCATTCTACACCCAGGAGCAAATGCTCCTGGTGTGAACAGTAAAATCAAAAAAATAGGAAAAAATTCAAAAAGTTTTGAATTTTTTTGTGACATACTTACACAAGTGTTTCTTGTCCATGAAAATTTTCATCACGAAATCACATTCGTGGAAGTCGTGCCGAAAAAAACAAAATCAGAGCTCCAAAATGCTTTTGTAAGTAACATTTTCATAGCATTGATTTTGTTTTTTTACCACACATTCCATCAATGTGATTTCGCGATAAAATTTTACGTGCACAACAAACATTTGTATAAGTATGCCACAAAAAAAATTCAGAATTTTTTGACATTTTTTTGAATTTTTTTTATTTTACTGTTCACACCAGGAGCATTTGCTCCTGGGTGTAGAAACTCCATGTCCGAATGAAGTCTCGATTGATGCATCAGCTTGGAAATGGATTCCACGTATCATTATTCTTTTTCTTTTGAGTTGCATATATCATTAATTCATTCTGAATGAGTGGCAGAAGTATGATTTGTATTGTTTCCTTTCTATTGATGGTGGAGTGCTTCGTAAATCATTCTGAAAGCAAATTCTCCATTTAACAGAAACAAATCTTCATCGTTGCGAAAATATCCTCGTGTAGTCTAAAACAATATTTACTAGTTCTAACCTAGAAAAGAATTAAGAAAGTCTATCCAACTCCTAGGCCATTTGATTTTACATGAAGATTTATACGAATCTTTCCATTTGATTGATTTATATTTTATTTTCTATTTTGAGTTTGATTTTATTTTATCCACACACCGCACAACAAGTCATCTGGTGTGAGCAACTGAAGCTGTGTGTCCGTGTACTGACACACAACTGTATGTCAATTGGTCGAGCGCAACTACAATTGCACACCAACTACCTTTCATTTTTAAAGTACATGGTAATACTTTTTAAGGAAACATTG